AACAGGCTGGTTGCCACCCATGCACTCCCTCATGTCCAGGGCTCCCTGTGCACAGCCTGGGTGAGCAAAAAAACTTCCTTCACAAGTCTTTCATCGCTCTTAGGAGGCCATCTGCTCTGAGCTCCTAGCATCAGCTGCTCCCTCCCAGGGGCTGCTTCAGGCTCTCTTCTATCAAGAATCAATTGCTTAAGGTACCAACCTCTTCCCAGTGCCAGGTATCTCTGGTTGGCTCAAGTACGAAGCCTGCTCCAGGCTTCAAGACTCCTGCAGGGCTGCTCCCTCGCTTGCTCACAGGACTACTCAGTCAGCATAATAAAGTTCAGCATGAATACAAGTGTTTGCTGCAGGATTGGGGCCTTATTCCACAGACCAGTTTGTGAGAGAGCCTGACCTTTCCTCCCAATGCCCCCCTCCCTCACTGTTTGCTTCTCGATGCTTTAGTCCACCCCACTATGTCAAGATCAGCTGATTGGCCTTGGAGGGGGTAAGGAGGAGGATGGAAAGTGTAGCCGTAATAACAGAAAGTTTCCTACATCTGCAACTGTGGGAGCTGCTCGTGTGGCTTCATAAGTGCATTGTATTACCAGACAGAAAATGGGCCATTTCTAAGATGAACATTGTGTTCTTGTATAAATTAATAGCTAAATTTTAAAAAACAGAAGGCAAATCCTGGAAAGATTAAATATTTGGATGATCCTCTTCCCTCCTAAGGACAGTGCTATACTCTGAAAGGCCCAGATTCTCTCCAGCAGTGAGATCTACTCAGTCCAGGAGAGAAGCAGGCAGTTAAAGAGCTGGTTATAGCTCCTTAAGGATCAAGCTGTCCTGATCCTGACATGAATGAGAAGCCATCAACCTAGCTATCGCCTCTCAGGGTGGATTACCTATGCTGATGGGAGAACCCCTCCCGTCGGTGTAGGTAGTTTCTACACTGCAGCTGTGCTGCTGTGGCATTTCAAGTGTAGACAATCCCACAATGAAAACCAGCTAGGGGCTTGTCTACACTTACGGTGCTGCTGTAGTGCTTAGTGAAGACACTATCTATGCCAATGGGAGAGCGTCTCTCGTTGACATAGGTACTCCACCTCCCTGAGAGGTGGGAGGTACGTTGACAGGAAAGCTTCTCTACCCATAGCGCGCTCTACACTGGGGATAGGTCAGTATAACTACATGGCTCAGGGGTGTGGATAGACCAAGCCTAGGCAATCTATTTTTTAGCAGTTTTGATCTTTTTTCTTTACCCTAGATTTCCACCTCTATAAGTGACAGCAGAATCTGGTCCGCCTTACCCCCCAGTATATACACTAGCTTCTTTGATTAAGCCTGATGTGTCCAGCAGTATTAATGAATGTGGGTCTGACCATGCTCTCCTTATGCAGCCAGAACTCCTGGGCCAGGTTGGGCCAGTCTCTGAGCTGGAATAAATCAACATGGCTTGATTAAAGTTACTGGAGCTCAGTGATCTATACCAGTTGAGGATCTGGCCCATTGAAGCTAATGGGAGATTTGCCTATGTCCTCAACAAGACCCAGTTCAAATGTAGACCGTTTTGGGAAGACATCCACAAAGGGACTTTGGTGTTGCAACCCTGTATGTCTTGGTGCCTAGAAAAAATTACAGGAACAGTGTGACCCACAAAGCCTGAGTTAGGTGTTTAGGCTCCCTATACAATGAGTGGATGAGGGATGGCAGATTCCTGTTCAAATCCCTTCTCCCCCTCAGGACTTGAATAGGGATCTCCTACACCCTGGGTGAGTACCCATCCATTAGACTAGAAGTTATAAGGGATGTCCTTCCCCCTGCCTCCCCCGCTCCCAGCTGTTTCATATGAGCATGACTGAGCATGCCTGATCTGGTAAGCATGCTCACAGGTCCCCTACCACATTGGGTCCCTGCACATTATAGGTGGCCAAACACCTGTCTTCCCTAGTTTGTGAATTACTCTGGGGCTTGGGAAGGAGATGTGTGCCTGGATGTCCATCATGAGGCAGTACTTTGTATACTGAGGCAGGAGATAGGTACCTGGGTGCCTAGAGGGAGTATACAGTGAGCATGCCCAGAGGAAAAAACTTAGGCGCTAAGTGGGTTTAGGCACTTACACAATTAGGTGGCAGCTGAGTGGGAGTTTTGTGGATCACAGAGGTGCCTAAAAACAGGACTTAACGGCCTAAAAATGGGGCTTGGGTGCCTAAGTATCTTTGTGGATCACACCCTTAGTCCTTAACTATTTAGTTTTTTTCTTTGGAAGTACATTAGCTCCTTTTGATGCACAGGACTGACGTATGCAGTTATGGACTAAGAACCTAAAAATTAACTTCCTACTTCGGATACATTATTCTTGATTAATTAGTACACTGCTTTAATTATAGCACAGCCACTCTATCCAGATGTGTCACTCAAGTCTTTGATTACTGTGTTTCTAATTCTGCAACGTTTACTCATGTGAGTAGTACTTACTCATGAGAGCAGCACCATTGACCTCAGTGGGATCAAGCCCTGATACATTTGAGACCAGGTCTCCTTCCTGCTCAGAGTGAATCAGGAAACACTTACACCATTCTTGCAAATTGTTACAAATACACTAAGTTGTTTTCAAAAAGGTGGTCTTGAGTGTAAAGTATTATTAATATCAGTTAACATTTACGTTTTAGCAGTACTGAGAAGTCTCAACTAGGTCACAGTCCCACTGTTCTAGGGCTGTACAAAGTAAATGACAGAATACAGGTAACGCTCACAGTACAATATACACTAGGGAGCATAAAGAACAGGAGGACTTGTGGCACCTTAGAGACTAACAAATTTATTAGAGCATAAGCTTTCGTGGGCTACAGCCCACTTCTGTAAAGGCTTTTCACTGAAGCCGGACACCGTGATAAATAGTTATGGTTTTAGGAATTAACCCCATCACAAGGCATGTTTATGTCAGTATTGAAATAGCTAAAGGTTATTTGGCAACTCCTAAAACTTAGGGCTAGTCTATACTGAAACTTTATATGGACATAGCTACATGTCTCTTGGGATGTGAAAAATCCACATCCTTGAGAGACGTAGGCAAGCCGACCTACCCCCTGGTGCAGACAGCTCGAGGTCGACAGAAGAGTCTTCCATCACCCTAGCTGCTACTGCCTCTTGGGGAGGTGAATTACCTCTAGCAATGGGAGACTCCCTCCTGCCCCGTACTAAACATCTGCACTTGCGCTGTCCCTGTGCTGCTGTCGTGTTTTTAAGTGTAGACATATCCTTAGTTATTAAACCATATATGCCTACTGTTATCAGAGAAGAATTCATGGTTTACAACAATATAGGGCCCAGTCCTGCACTCTTAGCTCAGGCAGAGTTCCCACTGCCCATGTGGATTTGTAAAATGCATACTGTATTCCAAGAGCTTTCATGAGTGCACTTTAAAAGATGCTTTATAAGACATATTGTGCTCTAGTCTACAGAACTCAGGGCTGGTCTACACAAGAAGGTTAAGTTGACCTAGCTGCATCACACAGGGCTGCCCGGGGGGGGGGAGGGGGCAAGTGGGGCAATTTGCCCTGGGCCCCGCAGGGGCCCCCACGAGAGTTTTTCGGGGCCCCTGGAGCGGGGTCCTTCACTCGCTCCGGGGGCCCCAGAAAACTCTCATGGGGCCCGGGCCCCCGGAGCTTCTTCCGCTCCAGGTCTTTGGCGGCAATTCAGTGGCGGGGGGTCCTTCCGCTCCGGGACCCACCACCGAAGTTCCCTGAAGACCCACGGAGGGGGTCCCTTCCACCCCGGGACCCACCGCCGAAGTGCCCTGAAGACCCGCAGCGGGGGAGGTCTTTCCGTCCTGGGACCCACCACCGAAGTGCCGGGTCTTCGGCGGCAATTCCGCCGCCGAAGACCCCCAGGCCCCCTGAATCCTCTGGGCGGCCCTGGCATCACACCCCTGAGATACCTAGTTAAGCCAACCTAAGCCCCAGTGTAGACATTAGGTCAATGGAAGAATCTCTTGAAAAAGTGGATTTACTATAGTGATGGAAGAACCCCTTCCGTCATCGTAGTAAGTGTCTACACTACAACAGCACAGCTGTAGCATTTCTAGTGTAGACAGACCCTCAGATAGGGCTAAGGTAGACACACCCTCAGATAATCTGCAAGTCTTCAGAGAACCAAACTGTACTTAAGCTGTTTTGGAACTTGTATAGATGCTTTTTGCCCTGGGACATGCTGAACCCTGAAATGCTCTGTCCTTTACAATCTTCGGTCTATAGCTGGAGAAACTTAATATCCCTGTTCATGGGGACTTAAAATGTGAGCTGGCGTATAGGTGAATAAAAGATCAGATTATTAGTTATGTCAAGCCAGAATCATGAAAGTCATGTAGTAGTTTGGGACGTTTTAAAAAACTTGTTTTGAAAATTATTATGAACTTCTCTTCTGTGACTAAAAATAAGGGTGATACTTTTTGAATTAGTACAGTAATTAAGACTGCCGGTCTTAGAATAACTGGAGTTTTTTTAAACGGTCTTCAGACTGCCTAAATTATCGTCAATAACCGTAGTCAGTCTAGAAAGTGACAAAGGCATAAATATGCCTGGTGACAGCTGGGTCAAGATAAGTCCGAAAATCTCTCTCTCAAATTAAAAAAAAAAAAATTAAGAGTAAAAAAAGTCACTCTCAGGTACATCCTGCTGTGAAACCTAATTCTGTGTTTATGACATCACAATCAGTTGCCATTGAGAGATTGAGGTAATATATTTAGCATTGAGAGGTCACTGTACTTAGAGATATTGATCAATGAGGAAGAGAGCCTTTTCTGACATACACATATCTGTGCTAACTAGCCAGAGCGGTAGGGAAAGTTATACAAAAATAATCCAAACAGGAAAAGGAAAATGGAGAAATATGCTGGTGCATATCTGTCTTAAGCATTTTATCTGTCCCCATTTAAACTCTCTAATTATTGCCATTCGGACATTCCTAATTGATTCTGTGATAGCACCATAAAGGTGGATAGAGAGTATATTCAGTATGTCTTAACTTTTAAAACAACCAACAGTATGCTTTAATTAAAAAACATTAATTTTACAGCTTTAGTCTTCCGTGCACTGCACTGTAGCAAAAGCCAGTCTGAACAGGATATTCATGGCAAACAAAAAATACCCTCTCTTACCCAGACGCCTTTTGTGCATTATCGCTTTTGTGCATAACACACAGGGATGGGGGAGGATATTTCTGAAACTAAAGCACAAAACAAATTTTCTATCCAAAGACAAACATGTTTTCATCTGTATAAGTAGCTGAAGCCAATGAGTAATTATGAATTCATAGTCGGTTTGATAATAGCTGTTTTAAAGAGCCTGTTTTCAGAAGCAATGGTGTTTATAACAGACGCCTACAGTTTGTGCTGGAGAAAGAGAGGAGAATACAATACAAATAAGAGAGATGCTTTATGCATTTTTCATCTTGAATACGGGTGAGCTGGATGGCACTTGTAGGGGCTCATTTGGGGCCCATCTCAACTTTCATTTAAAAACAAAAATTAAGTCTCTAGCTCTTTTAATTGTGAACAAAGTCTGGAACTGCAAACCAGCACAAGTGGATATAAAACAAAGGAAAGTACTTGCTAGGGCTGAAAGCGAGAAGCAGAGAGAGGGTTGAGAGACCCTAACGAAGCTTCCCCCAGACTCACCTTTTACGTAAAATAAGTGAGTTAAGGACATATCCCAAATAATGATCTTCCTAACCCCTCAGAAAACCATTGGTCCATCTGTGCCCATACTGCTGTAATAACAAAATACAGGAGTCAGGTACTGGTGGATGGAGGGGTAACTAAAAATTGTTTCACAGGCCAACTTGGACAGATGTGTAGTCACATTGACTAAAGCACGAATGGAAGGCTCTCATACTACAGTGATGAGAGTGGTATAAGAGCCTGGGTGAAACAGAACTTGAAAATGCTAAGGCCAGCTCTTGTTGTCAGCGTTCTCAGCACTAGGACTGTGCTGGTGGCTGCAGCCTCTGACAGCCATCATGCGACGGGTGTATCCACCAGGGCTGTGGGATCTGCTCCAATGAGAGCTCCTCTCCTGTTTCTCCCCCAACAAGCATTGCTCAGAGCCAATGGAGCACATACCACGTAATGCCTGCACTCCCGATCCTTGCTGCTGCTTCAGCATTGCACCAGGAGGAAAGGAGAAGCGGCAGGCCAAGCTGCTGCTGTACTGAGTGGAAGTCCTGCGGCTGCTGCTGGCTGCCTCCCCGCCTCACCTCATAATGCCTACCTGCCCAGCCCCAGATCTGAATCTGAAAATCTGGGTTCCTTCCCACCTTGTCCCTGACCTGCCATTTCTACCCAGAGGAATCCCATCGCCTGACCTAGCTCTCAGTCCAGCAGCCTGGGATACCTGGTTCTAATTTGCCACCCCTACCCATGCATACATCAGCCATGAAACCCAACCTTCCCCATTAATTAGGGAAGACCACTTGCATCAAAAACCAAAAGGGAACCCCTTCCCCAAACTGCCATCCAGCAGGGGGACCTGCTCCCTACTGGACCAGTCACTCCTAGCCAGAAGCCATTGTGAGGGACAGCTGCCATGTAGATGGGCCATCTGAAGTAGCCTCTATGAGGTGCAGGAAAAAACATGGTGGGGTCGAGAGGCACAAGGCTAGAGGGCAGGGCAGAGGAAGGACTGGTGGATTTGGGGGCACCTTGGAATGGATGGATTATCTTGGGGAAGCAGAAGAGAGCATTTTACCCAGGGAATGTCACATGTATCACTGAGGTGGAAAATTTCTGAGGGAGGCAGTCATTGATAGTGAAATCATGGACTTAAAAATGATACGCTAATACTGCTGGTATTTCATAGTGTTGACTGTAAAGGATTTCTGGGGGGTGATTTACTAGAATTAATAAGAAATAATGTTATGTAGAAGGAACAGTTTACAAGATAAGTTTACCTGCTCCCACTGAACTAAACGGCAAAGACTCCCTCTGGCATTAGTGGGAACAGCTCAAGACCTTTATAATCCTCCGAAAGGATCAACCAGAATCAGTAAATTCACAATAAATACATAGTTTTGGAGACTGTCATGAGGGATTCTTTTAGCTATTCACAGGGGTATTATTTAATTTCAAGGACCCCTTGGATACATCAGTGTTCAGGGTTGAAAGGGCGATGTTCTCATATTCCTCCTGAGATGTGAAGCATCTGCAGTGGTGAATTAACACTATTAAATCCTTCTGGAAATTCTTGTTGAGAAATCCGTAAAAGATAGGATTGATACATGTCGAGAGCATGGCTACCAGGTGGCACAATGTGAACACTAAGTTATGGTGGCAGTTCATCAGTGCCTCATAGTTCCAGTCAAAAACGACGTTAAATATGTTTAGAGGCAACCAGCAAGCTGCAAAGGTCACGACAATTGAAATGAGCATCATATTAATCCTTTTGCTCTCATTTAGTCTGCTCTCATTCTCCCTCATCCCATCCACCTTACCATGTCTCCGCCGGAGACATACAAATATCTTGAGATAGCAGATAAAAATAAAGCCCAGTGGGAAGCAATACTGGACAACCAGCAGACTGGTGGTAAAGACCAGTCGCTCTGCAACTGATGGCCAGGCCTCGATGCAAACAACTTTGTTCGTGTAGAAATCGCTATGGTAAGAGAGATTTTTAAAGGGTTCATCAGATAGGTGGTGGAATATAAAAAAGGGAATGGATATGATAAGGGAAACCCCCCAAATGAAGATAATTCCCCAGTAAGCGTGTGACATATTCGGCTTCCAGCCACGTGGGTTCACTATTAACTGGTGTCTCTCGACAGCAATTAATACAAGTGAGAATATGGAGACTGTGACAGACATACTTTGTACAAAAGAGCTTATTTTACACATAGCCTCGCCAAATATCCAATAGTCCATCAAAGTGTATGCAACTGTGACAGGAATGCACATGATGCATATCAAGACATCGGATAAGGAGAGATTGGCAATCAGAATATTTGTAACATTTTGAGCTTCTTTCTGTCTTTGTATTATAACAATCAGGCAAAGGTTTCCAAAAAGCCCCACTATTGTAACGACAGTATAAGCCGTGATGAGCAAGAAGACTGCAGGGAAAGAAGGCTGACATGAATCAAAGTGTGAAAACTGTGAGTTGCTGCTGTTTGCAATAGTTCGATTAAACAAACCCTCAGTAGGATGCTGAGTGGGTTTCTCCATCATAAAGGAATCCTAAAACCATGGACATAATTTAGTATGCAAAGCCTATTTTTTGGCCCTAATTATTTAGAAGATATTTTGCTTGGAGCTTCCCAAGACCATGATTAATAGGATTCAATCTTTATGCTTGTTCTTCATGATGCTCTGTTTGAGCAGATCTGATACTAGTACTTACAGCATTGAAGAATCCTGAAAACAAAAGCAAATGGTAAAACATTAGTTTTAAACCTATAAATCAAAGAGATTGACACAAGTGGCTTGAGTCTGCCTTTTTGAGGTTCTGCACTCATGATTACAGAGAATCAATGGCTCTCTTCACACGATTCAGTGATTGCAACATATTATAGTAGAAACAGCAATGACCACTCTATTTAAGTTTTCATAACAGTTCTCATTCAAACCCTCTTTTTTTTTAGTTTCACTTTCAGGATAAAATATTGCAGGGTCAGTCTCTGCCCAAAGGTGCATATTTTTGGAAAGTTTGACCAAAAATGGTTCAGTCATTTTTGATTATCAGGAGAACAAAGAATAATGCTTCTGCCATCAAAAGGCCAAATTCAAGTCTGGCACCAACTTCCCAAAAATTACTAAGCAATGCTATAATATGCCGAAGTCTGCCTGTGACTTCATGCACAATGCTCTGTTGTTGTGCAGAAGTAATCTTTACAAAAATGGGAACAGAGGGAATGTATCTGGTAAAGCATATTAGATTAACCACACCACCCCATGCAATGTCCTGTCCTAGAACACTACCTTTATGAGGTCTGTAGAATATGAACATCATGGGTCCAGGGGGGAATACAGGAGCTGGGTCCAGGGGGAATACAGGAGCAGGATGCAATGGTTGTGTACTGGATTTCCATCCTGGATGCCTTTTTCTACTTGTGTCGATGTCAAAGAGACCACCTCCATTTGGCCCTAAATATAAACAGAGAAGAATATGGACCAGATGGAGGCAGCATCTTTCACATATACAGCAGTATCTTCATACGATACTAGCCTCAGGTTCTCTCCTTCCTTTCCATAGATGCATGCTTTTAATATTTGCACTAGTTTGGTAAACAGTACAAAGGAATCTTACTGTAGCTAAATGCAGTGTCTGGTCTATAGAAACAAAGACCGGATTCTCCTCTCACTTACTCCTGATTTACACATGTGTATGTGTAAATCTGTTGATATCAATAGACTTACACTGTTGTAAAACAGACTGAAATGAGAGATCAGGTTCAGCATTAATGAATCTATGGATTGGGAGTTAGAGACTAGTTAGAAGAGCTGAACTCAAAGCCAAAGCTCAGTGAATTTTTGGGCAGAAACCTGAGAACGAAAAAGTACCACATAGAATGGTTGCTTGCCCATCTTTCATTTCTTAAAGACTATACTTGTCACACCCTCTAGGTACATTTACAGCTCTTTAAACACAGATTTGACTCACCTTAGTCCCTTTGGTGGGAGGCATAGGGAAATAAGCCTGAAGCAGTCATTCTGCATCTGTAGCAATAAGCATTACACTATGCTAGCCCTGAGAAAAAGCCAGGAAGAGGAAGCAGTATAAATTTTAAGAGAAAACAAATAAAAGAAAAATCATTACGACAAACACTTTCATTTACATACCCCACTTTTGCAAAATGCTTTATTAGGTTATTATATTTATTAGGTCACCAAGACACAGGGATGTTCAGTGGCTTGCATTAGATCATACAAGTCTGTGGCTGAGCTGGGTGATATAACGCCAAGACCCATGGGACTCCCAGGTTTACAGCTGCCTGTAGAATTTTAGGTGCAGAATTCTAGCTTGGATTGCTTTCTTCAAATACCTCTGTTTGAAGTCAGTCCTACCATTTCAGATCAGGCAACTGAGTCTAGAAGCTTGTGAAAGATCTGTCACAAGTGGAGATAAATCACTCTAATCCCAATAAAAAGAAGGGTCTAGTGCAGGCCGGTTGGAACGAGGGATGGCATTATGACTGTACTATGTGGCTTTGTATGGCCTTGCTGATCCAAATGTGAGTGCTGAAGTCTGCACTAAGGGGATAATATTAAGCTCTGGCCTGGAACTGTATGATTGTATGAGGGAGTGGAGAAGGAGAAGCTAATGCAACCTAATGGCTGAAATAGCCTCCATGGTCCTTTACGTGCACCCCCGCAACCAGTGAGGAAAGATAGCCACATGACAGCATTGTCATCCCAAGAAGTCACCTCTGTGGGTGCATACGCGAGGGCAGCTCTCTCAGGATTCCCAAAGTGCCCTCCATTTTCAGTGATTTCAGTGAGAACTGAAGGTGTTTGGCAGCTCCCAGGATTGGGCCCCATGTGAATGGGTGATGTGGCTAGTTGGAGAAGCAAGCAGTTGGAGAACAGGAGCTAAATTAAGCATATTCCCCTGGGATCCACTATAAATCACAGTTGCTCTAAGTAGCAGTAATTGCCCCACTGGAGTTTTCTCAGGCACAGGGAAAAGCAAAGCTGGAAAAGCAAAGCTAGCCAGTAGCCGTACTGCAACCATGGATATGACTACACAGCAGCAAGGAGTGAGCTTCCTAGTCTGGGGAGACAGGCTCACGCTAGTGCACTAAAATCAGCCGCATGGACGTTGCGGCTCGGACTCTCAAGCCCACCTGGCCCCTTAGGCTTGAGAGCCCAAGCCACAACATCCACACTGCTATCTTAGTGCATTAGCTTGATCCTGTCTTCCAAAGAGTCTTGCTGCCAGTGTTAGGGTGTGTGCAGGTCACAGATCCAGGGTCTGGCTGTATGGACGGATTGTTGTCCATGAGATGATCCTCTGGATCTCTGGCCTCTGCTCCTTGCACTGACCACTCCCACTGCCTGACCCCAGGTCTGGGCCCTGCCTCCTTGCAAATAGGGTGCAGTGGGAGCCTATCTATTTAGGCTCCATGCACCACTACAAACAAGTCCTGCTCTGCTGTCTCTTTTACTCTAGCAGGGGAGGCTATGTGGGCCCACCAGGAGATGAGGCTGAGCCAGCTTTGTGGTGTTTTATGCATTATTTACTATGTTTACTTACTTATCCACTATTTCACAATAGAATGTAAGGATCTCTAATTAAATGCCAATGATTATGTATCAACAAGTGCCCAATGTCCTCCTGCTGTGTTCAGTGTGGATTCTTGGCACTTTCTACCTTCAAGGAATGTCCTTTTAATGACCTTGTAATGTGGGCATTTGCAGTTCATTAACTCTTTGTACACTGACTGTATTTTGTCATTGTTCCAGGAAAAAAGCGTCATTCCTGACAACTGGAAATTGTTACTGGGTTGCTTGGTAATGTGGGTTAATAAAAGTGTATTTTAGCATATATATCATAATAAAAGGTAATTTAAACATTTCCTCAGCAGTAAGGTAATTACACCCCTCTTCTTTCGACAGCTGGAAAAATACATAATCTCTAGCAAATGATGCCTTGGAAAAACAACCTACACTGCCATGCTGTGCAGCATGTATTAATTCTATTGAACAACATTTTTAAACTAACCAGCAATGTTAACATAATATTTTGCATCCTTGAATTGAGACTTAGGTTGGATGTAGAATTCTTTTTTTCTTTCTTTAAATATTTACTAAGAGAACTAATCTCAGTAATACTGAGACACATACTTCTCATGCTACAATACCCATTTTAAAAAAGATTCATCACCATAACCAGACACAGAAAGTTCAGTAGCATCCCAAATGATAAGCCATTTACCCTGTTCCTTCATTGTTGCCAGAAACATTCTTGAAGCATCCAGAAACAAATGAAATTTAAAAGTCTAGTATGAACATAAAATAAGAATAACAAAAATAAACACATAAACACCCCTGTTTGAGTTTGCTGTGAGTTATGCCAAAGTTGGATATTTCCCTCCAAAGTGATTAGGAAAAGTTTCAGTAAAAAAATCTATGATTTAAACTTGAAAGCATTACAAATGTAAAAGCTTCAAAAAGTTGCCCTGTCATCCTTAAATTTAAGAAATGGGGAATAAAATAATACTTTGAAATACATATTTCAAAGATCTTTCCCCTTCAGATGGTTTGGTATTTTTGCCGTTCAGCAGGTTCACGAATGCATTGACTGCTTACCTGTTGGAAAATTCAAGTAATATTTCCACTCTTCTGTCTTTAACGGATTTTCTTTTCCTTTTCAGGTGAAGTATAACGTCAGCAAACACATCTTCTTTGTGCCTGAAGAAATCAGAAGTGCATCTGTCTGTTGCTAAAGCCAGATCTAAACTTTTCTTTCTTCCCTTCCTGAGCAAACTGCAGCTTCATTCAGATTTCCAATGGGGAATTGAAGCCACCTCACCCTGGAAAGGCTGCTGAGAACAAAAACAAGCTCTGGAATCTAAGAAGAAGGAAACACCAATGAGGAGAAAGCAGGGAGGAGAGAGGACCAGTAGCCATGGGGATGATATTTTCTTTCCCCGTTTTTTCAAGCATTATCTTGAAATTTCATTTTCAATTATCTTATCTGTTCTATAGTACAAATGTTTTCTTAAGAATCTCAGTTGGATTTCACATGGGTAAATATTTGCAGATGGCTTATTGCTTTTTCCCCAAGGGGGAATGAAAATACAGCTATACAGTAGACTGCTTAGAAGGAGAATACATGTTCTGTTGAAGTGATGTTATTTGCCCTAGTACAATTAGGACTGTGATTTTTCCATTATAAATACCCTCTATTTTAGGTATTTTGTACCTGTGCTGTAAAATATTTCCTCAAGGTCAAACCATAGCCCATTATCCAAGCTTGGGAAGAAATAGGATTCATGGTCATTACTGTTATTTTACAATTTAAAAACATATACAGTCATTTCTTTAATAAGGCTTTTATTAAATATTTATTTATTAATTATTTAGATGTGGAGGTGACAAGGAAGGAACTTTTCGGCTCAGGGAGTGGTGCAGGGACATTGAGTTTTTCATCTTTCAGTGAATTTCTTCCTCATATCCCTCTACTCCCCAATGCCCCCATCTCCGATGCTGTGTCATCTTGGGGTTTTCAGTTCTGGGGAGGTGGTGACAAGAGGGAAAATTAGTCCAGACCTAGTGGGTGTTTGTGTGGGGAAAGCTGCAGGCAGAGCAGATGAAGGTTTCCTGTTAAGCTGGAGAAAGGGAAAGTAGTGGGCAAAACTTTGGGGAGAAAAGGAGGGAGGTCGATATTTTAAAAACCCCACAGAATGTGATGATTGAAAAGCAGCAGGATTCTCAGAATGAGGGAGTGAAATGATGAGGCTGTTTGAGTTTTTGTTTTAGTTTGAGTTTTTAGCACAGATTTTGTTTTGTTATATTGTGAGGATACATTTTCCTGAAGGATTGCTCGCATTTACGGTTTTGATCGGGTCAGAAATACTCTGAAACTAGCTTTCTTAATGTATTTTGGAATTTCTACATCTGGTCCCAGTTAAACCCAAGAAATGGAATAGCACACAGAAATGGAACATTAACTATAGATCATAAAAATTCTTAAGTAGATATATAAAACCAGCAACAACAAAGAAAATAAGTTAGTAAATTTTCAATAAGTATTTTAATTCCATTCAATTTAAGTTTTGGACAAAGGTTTGGGATAGTTCTTATCCAAATGGGTACTCCAGTCTTACTGTATCTCTTGATTCACATAACCTCCTGTAGAAAGAGTGAAATATATGGGGGCTGATTCTAATCTCACACTGGTTTTAAATTGGTGTAATTCTATCAATCTAATTTGATTTAATCTTGATGTTAACTGGTATAAATAAGATTAATTTAAGTCCCAGAATTTCAAAGATGTAGTTGCTCGTGATCTGTTTGCGCAACTCCCTAGGCATGGTGTAAGTGGAGTATATGGCCAGGAATAGAGGGATAAAGGTCTATTGTTTTCAGCCAAATTGTGTAGTATCTGTGTTTGCAAAATAGGTTAATGAATAGCTGAATTATATTTACTTTATATGAATTTTCATGCTACTTTTAATTGCTAAATAAAAATTATGGGAAACAGCCTTTTGCAGCAAGTAGAGACAGATTGATAACTTCATGGAAGGAAAGACTACATCTATATTAGTAAACAAATTTAATCTCTGTAATCTGATAACAAATAATTAACATCATATTGCAGGTTAGCCATGCTAAACAGGACTGATTTTAGATGTTGGATGTAGGAACTCTACCTCTGGGGGACCCTAGCAGCTCAAGGGGTGGTCTTATATCTCAGGAAACAGTAGGAATTCGGTGAGGTGTGTGTGGGGGGCGGTTAATAAGAGGTCCCTGTCCCAAGTGTAAAGAAAAAATCCCAGTCATCACTATTTGATTCTTAATCACATCTCCACAGAAGATTTCTGACATTAGGTCCAATCTCGGAAGCCCCATGTGCAGGACTCTGAATAAAGTCAAGAGGAGCTCTGCTAACTAGACTGTAAGATCTTTGGAGTGGGGGCTATTTGTTCTGTGATTGTATGGCACCTAACACAATGGGCTTCTGGTCAATGACAGCTTGATGCTTGCTTGGATCCAAAATATATATTTATCCGCGGATATGATTTGTATCCTTCTCCCTACCCCTTCTCTGGAGTATCCCTCTCTTCACTGATGACTCCCTAGAATTGCCAGCACCCTCCTTTGCTTCTTGTGCCCCAGTTCTTCCACTTCCCAACATCTTCTCTGCATGTCCTTCCCCAATATTGCTCCCGTGTTCCAACTTCCCCTGAAGTTACCCTTTCCCCAGGTCTGCTCTCTAAAGATCACGTCATATATTGTACCAGCTTGGAAGTTGAAGTAACGATGCTTCAGGGAGTGATGTTATATTGGCAACCAATGAGGTCTATTAGGTGTTGCTGTGACATGATTTATAGAAGCATTTCTTTGTTCATTTGCAGTCCAGGATCCCCAGTCACTACCACATCCCAGAGGGTAGGTAACAATACCTCCACTTTTTTGGAGGGCCTTTGATTCTGCCAAACTATCTAAAAGTAAAACCATTCATCAGAGATTCAAGGAGAATTTTCTTGTCATATAAATACTGACTCTCTTTCACTATTTGGAGGAGTTTGAGGAATTCTGGGGTTTGCAGCTGTGCATAAATTTAAAATTCAGATGGGACCCTAAAAACCAAAGACCTGATTCTAGCAAGGTTCAAAGCATCTTCCACTCCCAGTGGAACCACTGGGGCCCAGTGTCCTCTCTGCAGACACTAAAGATCCCATGGCTTTTTTCATGAGAGTAAGGGGGTTTGCCCTAGGGCAGAGGTGGGCAAACTATGGCCCATGGGTCACATCCGGCTAGGGTGACCAGATGTCCTGATTTTATAGGGACAGTCCCGATTTTTGGGTCTTTTTCTTATATAGGCTCCTATTACCCCCCACTCGCTGTCCCGATTTTTCACATTTGCTGTCTGGTCACCCTACATCCGGCCCACTGAGCTCCCAGCCGGGGAAGGCTAGTCCCTGGCCCCTCCCTTGCTGTCCCCCCTCCACCGCAGTCTCAGCTCGCTGTGCCGCCAGCGCTCTGGGTGGCATGGCTGGCTCCGGCCGGGCCACACGGCTGTGAGTTCCTGCCGCTCTGAGCAGCATGGTAAGGGGCGGGGGGCAGGGAGCGGGAGTGGGGGGGTTGGATAAGGCACAGGGATTCCGGGGGGCAGTCAGGGGACAGGAAGCAGGGGGCGGGTTGGATGGGGTGATGGTCAGGGGACGGGGAGCAGGGGCGGTTGGATAGGTGTGGGATTTGGGGGGGGGCTGTCAGGGGACGGGGGTGTGGATAGAGGTCGGGACAGGGAGTGGGGGGGTTGGATAGGAGGTGGGGTTCCGGGAGGGGGTGGTCAGGGGACAAGGAGCGGGGGGATTGGATGGGTCGGGGGTTCTGATGGGGACAGTCAAGGGGCAGACAGGGGGCAGGGGCCAGGTTGTTTGGGGAGGCACAGCCTTCCCTACCTGGCCCACCATACAGTTTCGCAACCCCAATGTGGCCCTCGGCCAAAAAGTTTGCCCACCCCTGCCCTAGGGTATTGGTTAAAATTGCCTCTCCCCACATAGCTGTGCAGTGTCCCCCCATCTCAGTGAAAGCTGCAATTCAGTAATGTATGTATATAGTTTCTGATTCTTCATGATGAAGGGAGTTATTTTGAATTTACACCAGTGTAACTGAGATTTTGCCAGTGTCTTGTGAGTGTCTATGAAAGAGCCAGAATATTTCTTACTAATGAAAACTATCATTTATAACACTTCAAGAAGACATGGGAAAATAAGCCAAAGTAGATGGAACTCTCTATGTTGGCCTTGCCTCTCCAGGGTGAAGCAGATTGGTCCTGCTGTTTTTAAATAAAGATAAATGTCAGTCATATAAAGGCAAGACAAAAATATGCCCTTCAGAGCATCTGCAGAACAATGCATAGATGTGGCCTAGGACTAGCTGGAAAAAAAGTGACGACATCATACAAAACAGTAAGAAGCTTTTAATGTAAATGGAAAATACATAAAGAGAGATTTGCAGCTGAGAAAATCAGAGTGCAACTAGCACTGACACTGGGTTCAGACCTGAAGTTCTTCCTCAGGCAAAACTCAAAATTGTGGATAACCTGGGTGGGCCAAAAGGCCCCCTAGCATAATTTAGAGCAAGTTATGCCAACAGCAGTGGTCCCATAGGGACTGTACACATTGAGAGTCTGGTAGAATGCCATGCTATCTTCCCAATGTCTCATCCATCCTTGGTATCTGCCCTCCCTCTCCAATCACACCACTTCGATGCCAGCCCTTCATTACTCAAGGATTCTCTTAAGTTGTGGTAAGAGTAATAAGAACATATGAAAGGCCATACTGGATCTGACCAATGGTCGACTTAGCCCAGTATCCAGTCTTGCAAAAGTGACCAGTGACAGATGCTTCAGAGGGAATGAACAGAACAGAGCAATTATTGAGTGATCCATCGCCTGTCATCCAGTCCAGCTTCTGGCAGTCAGAGGTTTAGGGACCCCCAGAGCATGGGGTTGCATCCCTGACCATCTTGGCTAATAGCCATTGATGGACCTCTCCTCCATGAATAAATCTAATTCTTTTTTGAACCCAGATATAATTTTGGCCTTCACATTATCCCCTAGCAACAAGTTCCACAGATTGACTGTGCGTTGTGTGAAGAAGTACTTCCTTATGTGAATTTTAAACCTGCTGCCTATCAACTTAATTGGGTGACCCCTGGTTCTTGTGTTATGTGAAAGGTAAATAATACTTCCCTATTCACTTTCTCAATACCATTCATGATTTTAATGATCTCTATCATATCCCCCATTAGTTGTCTCTTTTCTAAGCTGAAAACAGTCCCAATCTTTTTAATCTCTCCTCATACGGAAGCTGTTCCATAACCCTAATTGTTTTTGTTGCCCTTTTCCAATTCTAATATATCTTATTTGAAATGAGGCGAGCAGAATTGTATGCAGT